CGTGGTGGAGATCAAGCGGCCCTTTGGCGTGACCATGTACCGGCTGCGGAGCGGAGCTGGAGTGGTGGAGGGTATGCATCAGGCCAGCAGGCTATCTAAGGCGCCACCCAGCCTGGCCAGCGAGCTGACCTTCAGCGGCACGGCGCAGCGAGGAGTGCCTGTGGTGTCTCTCAATGTGGCGATGGCGGCGCAGCCCGGCGGCGGCAAGGCAGCCGTGCGCTGCGGCTGCCGCGGCGCCTGCACCCGGAACTGCAGCTGCAAGAAGAATGGTGCGCGGTGTGGGCGGCACTGTGGCTGTATAACCGGTAAGGGTGGCAATTGCAAGAACCATTGAAGAAGTGTGCCTTGTACGCTTTGCCGTCTCCGCTGAAAGGTGCTGCCGCCTGTGGCGGCTTCATATTTCCTGTTCATTTCTGTTGTTCGGTCTCTCTGTTCGTGTTGGTTGGCTTGTAAGAGTTGTATTTCTGACGCTAGAGAGGTGAGATGACAGCGGGAGCGTTGAAGCGTGCATGCCATCACGTGTGCAAGCAGCCCCGCTCCGCCCCGCTCAACCCTCAAACATGGCTCTATGGGGTCAGTTCACGTATGGGAGGGGAGCGCCGCGCGGGCTGCCAGGAGCGAGCGGGGGCGGGGGTTGCCCAATCGGGAGGGTGCCACATCAGGGGGCAACACATGCCACGTCACGGCTCCAAAACGGCCCCCTGACCAGCAGGCGCCCACTGGTGGATCCCTTCCAATCGGACAACGACTCGAAATCTACGCAAAATTCTTCGTACAACTGTCGCCGTGTCGTCGGAGGCCGCGGTTTGACCCACCGCCCACCTGCAAAACGCCCATTGTATTCCAACTGCGGCCATTTAATTCATTCATACGCATTCCTCAAATCAATTCAGGACGGGCGCTGAGGCATGGCACCCGCCCAGCTGGTCACCTGGGTACTGCTGGCGACATGCCTCGGCGGGCTGCATGTCGCCGCCGCGCGCAGCAAGCCCCTCCGCGAGCTGCTGCACTCCCAGACGGACACTTGGACTGGTGCGCAGGAGTGGAGGAGGCATGGGTATGCTGTCGTGTGGTCTAGGGTTTCCAGGGGCCTCGTGTGTTGCTGCCGCCGCAAAGTCCTCACCGACGTCATCTTGCATGATGCACCTCATGCCCCCTCCTCCTGCTTCTCAGGCACTGCAATAGTTATCAGCAAGGACATGCTGGGAGAGCCGGATGAGAGGTGAAGGGCAGGCTCACCGGGCCATGTAGGGCCGTTGCCCATGCGCTCGCCCGCGCCCCCCAGCCAGCCGCCCCTGCCGCCGCCGCCGCCTGCAGGCTGCTCACGCTGCGCACGGACCAGGGCAGGCACATGCACGTACTGGCCAATACCAGCCAGGCGGCAGGCATCCTGTCGGGTATGCGCATCCAGGTGACAGGGCGCTGGCGGCAGGCACGTGCCGTCGCCTCCAGCATCGACGAAGCGGCTGACGACCGCAGCGGCGGCGCAGCAGGAGGGGCAGAGGCAGCAGCAGGGCAGCCCGCCGGCAGCTTCCAGGTGCACGCCATCACCGCCCACTGGCCCGACTCTCGCCCCATGCCGCTGCAATCGATCAGCGCCGAGCCAGGCAATGCTGTGGTGGCAGCCGCCACTGCCGGCACCGTGAGCCCAGCGGCTGCTGCCACCCTGAGCACCAATGGGCTGGTTGCTGCGGAGCTTTCGGTCCTAGTGATCCCCAGTGAGCGCTGCCCGCAGTGCAGTAACATGTAGGCCACAGCAGTGCCGCCAGCGATGGTGCCAGCTTTGCACAGCCCTTGCCCTCCCCTGCCCCCGCCTGGGCCCTGCCTGCAGTCGTGGCTGCCACCAGCGACGGCCAGGCCTGCCCCGGCACGCAGCTGCCCAGCCTGAGCGCGGAGCAGGTGCGGCGGGTGGTGCTGGAGGAGAGCAACCCGGGCGGCGCCACGGTCGGCTCAACCTACCGCCAGTGCAGCCACGGCAAGACGCGGCTGACGGCCGCCAACAGCCTCGTGGCCGACCCGGTGCGCCTGCCCTGCAACGGCACTAGGTGGGTGCATCAGGTGCATCACACCCCCCGCGGCTGTGCGGCCGACTGCCAGCCTGGCTGCTGCACCGCTGGGGTGGCTGGGCGCTGCGCTGGGCTGGCCTCGGGGCCGCGCACCAATGCTGGCACCGGCATCCCTTGCCCTGCCCACCCGCCCTTCCATACCTTCCATACCATGCACGCCCGGTGTGCCATGCCCCGCAGCTTTGGCGTGCCCTGGACCTTCTCCAAGTGTGACTTTGACGACTTCAACGGCTGGGCGGACGCGGCCAACGAGGCGGTACAGCGCCAGCTGGCGGCGGCGGGCACGTCGCTGGGCAGCTACCCGTACCACTTCTACCTGCTCCCACCCAGCCCCTGATCCTTTGCCGGCCTGGGCTACATCGGCTGCGACGGCTCCTACGAGTGCAGGGCCTGGGTGGGGGGCTCCTACTGGGGCTCTCCGCAGGTGCGGGGACGCCTGGCAGCGGACAGGCCACCAGCACTGGTGCATGGGATACCCAGAGGGCGTGGCCGCTGGCACAACAGCTTGGCACATGCCTGCCCGCCTGGCTACCCTCCTGCTTGGTGGCTGCCTGTTTGCAGGTCATCACGCACGAACTGGGCCACAACCTGTTCATGGGGCATGCCGGGGCGGGCGGCGGCGGCAGCAGTGGCGGCGGCGGCGGCGACGGCGCCAGCTGGTTTGATGCGTATGGCGATGACACAGACGCCATGGGCTACTGCTGCACCGACCGCTGCTTCAACACGCCCCACGCCTGGCAGGCGGGCTGGCTGAGCGTGCGGCAGCTGGATGGTGCCAGCCTGGCGCCCGGCTACCCGCTGGCCCTGGCGCTGCCCAGTCGGGGGCTGTCGGCGCAGGGCGGGGTGAGGATTGTGCCCAGCTGGGCCCCCGGGGTGGAGCCCCTGTTCCTGGGCTACAGGACGGCGACGGGGATCGACACAAACCTGGGCAGCCTGGCCGGCAGGGTGCACTGCTACAGCGCCGCCATCCAGCACACCTACGACGCCGCGCCCACCACCTGGCTGGCCTCCCTGGGGGGTGAGCGGCAGCGCAGCGCCTGCTCTGGCGGGTAGGCAGCTGGCACGCCTGACCCCACCCACCCACCCCACTCACACCTACCCGCCCTACCCACCATGTAGCAGCCAACCAGTCGTGGACGCACCCCGCCCCCAGCGCCGGCCTGGTGGTGCGCGTCACCAGCTTGTCACGCGACAGCGCCGCAGTCACGGTGTGCCGCCGGGCGGGCAAGGAGACGGCGGCCTCGTGTGCGGCTGGCCTGGACTCAGATTGCAACGGGCTGGTGGGGGCTGCAGACCCGGCGTGCCGCTCGCTGCTGCAGGCGGCAGCCAGCAGCAGGCCGCCCCCCTCGCCGCCAAAGCGTGCCAGGCGGCCGCCGCGAGGCGTTGCAGCACGCTGACGTGCAGCAGCAGACAGTAGCCAGGCGCAGCTGCGCAGCTAGCAGCCCTGCCAACAGCTGATTTGCTTCTGTGTGTTGGCCGACCCCTGTCCAGCACAGGCCACAACTGCGCCGCTCCACATGTAACCAGCGCTGCCCCCAGCTTGTCTGTGATGTACCGCAGTTTCGTCCCTCGCCCTTTTCTGATCAGTGAGGCGCAGGTTTCACAAGGTGGGGGAGGTCGGATACTCGTCTGGCACCAAAGGGCAGAGCAAAGGGAGGGGTTGCGTCCACATTCAGGCCACTGCATGCGTGTCGGAATGTAGAGGCAATGCTGCCGCCGCCGTCGCAGGGCTGCTGCCTGCGGCGGCGGCGGCACGGCGGTTGGGTCCACGGCTTGCTGCCGCTGCCGCCGCCGCAGGGGTGCTGCCTGCGGCGGCGGCGGTAGCGCACGTGGCAACCCCCCGCGCTTCCTTGCCTCCCATCCACCGGACCCCGTCCTGCGCTTCACTTTGTTTAGGGAGGGGCTGCTCACTGCTCATTGCTCATTGCTCATCGCACACTGCTCAACGCTCATTGCCCTATATCCCACCCAGCCGCAGGACTCCACTGCCGCCCGCGCCCCGCCCCATCTGGCCGCTTGCGCGCCCCATCCCCCCTCGATGGGGCCCGCCCACACCGGGGCCTCCCCCCTCCCGCCCACTGCTTTCTCAACGGCCCCGAGCCGGGGCTGCCCTCATTGCATACATAGTGCGCCTTTCCCTGCTTTTCTAGTGACCTAGCGTTCCGCACTGCCGTTTGGCCAGCCCATGCTCCCGTACCGATGCGTTTCTCCCCAATGCGCCATGCCACTTTGCCAGTCATACACACGTTTCGATGCGTGCCCTGTCAGCTGCTTGCGTTGCATGTCGCCTTGCTCCACCCCTGTTTTATTGCTTTCTCTGCTTTCGCCCGGTTCCCGTCCCGTTTCGGCGGGGAGTCTATGTTGCAAGCTAGTTCTTGCTTTACCAGACTTTAAGCCCACACAAGCAAGGGAAGGGGTCCATTCGTTTCTTGGGGCGTGCCCTAGGCTGTAGGTTCAGTAGACCAGCGCCGCGTCCAGCCGCGATGCAGGGCTGAGCATCGACCTGATCTTTGCCAGCCAGCTGGAGAGTGGGGAGCTCCTGCCGCTGCGCGCCGCGCCGCAGCTGGTCGCAGCAAAGTCTGCGGGCTCTCCTAGCTGCGTGCCGCTGCTGCAGCAGCTGGCTGCCTCGGACAGCGCCATGTCGGCCGCCGCCGGCTCCCAGCGGTGCGCCGGCGCCGAGTGCGGCTCGCTGCGGCAGGCCGTGCTGGGCTCTGCCGCTGCAAGTGCCGAGACCTGCAGCGCTGGCACTGCCGCCCGCACAGCCAGGCTCTCGCTGCTGTCCTGGCTGCACAGCCTGCTGCGCTTGGCGGGCTGCTCGTGCAGCGGCGGCGGCGTGGCCTGGCGGTGCAGTGGCTGGGGCGCCGCGGGGCGGGCCGACGCCGAGGGCGCTGGTGCGCTGGTGGCTGCCGAGGGGGCGGAGGTGGCCATGCGCCAGTTCACCGCCACGCTGCCCATGTAGGTGACGGCGGCTTGCGTGGGGTCGATCCCCGTGGTGGGCAGCGGCACGTTGACGGCCAGCGCGCGGCAGCCGCGCCGCCGGAGCAGCTCCGCCGCCAGCGGCTGGCCGGCCAGCGGCAGGCGCCAGGCGCCGGCGCCGCCCTTCACGGCCATCAGGCGGATGTGGTAGGCCAGCTGGCGCTCGCGGCACATGTAGTAGACTGCAGGGCAGGCGGAGGAGGGTGCAGGAATGGGTGAGCGGCTGGGGGGAGGGACAGGTGCGGCACGGGCTGGGCCTCCCGGCTGCGGCGGCGACGGCAGGGAGGGGTTCCATGCCCGGACCTGTTGGTGTCTGCAGACCCGCGGGCCACAGCTCCATCTGCGGGATGACGTTGCTGAAAGGGTCTCTGCGTGGCGAGGAACGGCGGCAGGAAAAGCTTGAGGAGCTGTGTTCGCATGGGCGTCCCCCATTCACCCCAAGCGGGCCGCGCCACCACGACACGCGAGAACGCGGGACCCTGCGCACCTTGAAACAGCATGTATCGTGAGTGAATTGCAGGCCACGCAGTGCTTACAACCCGGCCTCTGCTGCGGGCATGCAGCAGCGATGGCGATAGCAGGGGACATGACGGTGTTGGTGAAGTGCTGCTGTGTGTGGGTGGAAGGGGGGAAGGAGGAGGTGTATTGTGGGGAGGAGGGGTGCCGAATCGTTTCTTCATGCGAACAACCGGACGAACGTCCGGAGGACGTCCTCTGTCGACGGAGAGAGAGGCGACGTAATATGTGGCGATCCGACCAAACGACCCTGTGCCGTGAACTTGTGCAATTATTCAAATTATTCACATTCAACAAGGCGCAATCCTCTGCTCGGGGCCTCCGGCACCCGGACCCAGCCTTTGGCAGCGGCCGCAGCTGCCTCTGCAGAGTACTGGAGGATCGCGGTCTTCTGGCGCCACCCGTCCTCCTGCTCTCAGGGGTCCCACCCAGGTGCAGGCGAGTGTGCGCTGCACGAGGTGTGTGAGGAGCACCATGGGGGCAAGGGAGGCTGCTGCATCACAGTGCGGCTCCACAGCATGGCTGCATGATGGCGGCAACGCTCCCCGCTTCTGCCCCTGCTGCACCAGGTTGCCGCCCCGCCTCAAGGCTGACCGCCCTGCTGCTGTCTGTGACAAAGTGGGGTGCATGTAGGAGGTGGGTGCATTTCGATGGTAGGCCAAGGCCTGGCCCCCCGGCCGTCCCACAACGGCAGAGCCGGCGTCGGGCGGCAACACCTTGCCGGCGGCGGCAACACATTGGAAGTGGCGGCGGCGCCAGGAGGGCCTTGTGAGGCATGCCACCCCAGGCCTGGGGTTGCGCCTCGTTCTCCAGCCATGCAGCACAGAGAATGTGTGTACAGTCCCTCCGGGCACCCAGGCCCAACCGGGTTGGACGGACACGGCACATGCCCGTGACGCCGGCCTCTGTTCTTCGGCCCCCTCAAGCCCTCGCGTGTGCAAGATCATCAAATCTGTTCAGGGAGTGGCGGTTAACCGTCCGGCTTGGCTCTGCCCGCAGGATACCGCAAGGCACACGGCCCGAATCCTTCCCCATCTCGCCGCTCCTTCAATGATGTTACAGTAGGGCTCGAAGGAGAGCTACAGCGGGAGAGCATTGTACAGAAGGTGACTGGCCTTCACCTTGCACCGCACACACCGACAGAGCAGCGCCGGTCTCTTGACACAGCCGTGGCTGCGTGCTGGCAGCGGCAGTGTCGGCCGCCGAAAAGCTCATGCACCGGCTTATGACTTGCGCAGCCGGTCCAGCCGCGCCTGAAGGTCGTCGTCCAGACCGCTCTCGCCGCCGCCGCCGCCGCCGCCGCCGCTGCCGCCACCGCCGCCGCCCATGCTGCCGCCTGCACCGCAAGAGCGCCTGGGAGGCTGGGACAGCCGGGCAGCACGCCTCCCCGGGCAGGGCGCCATCGCCCCTGCCGCGCTCACCTGCCGCGTCGGCGCCGAGCGGCTGCGCCATGGGCACCGCCGCTGCCGCCGCGGGCGCCGCCGCCGCTGCCTTTTGTGGCGCGCTGACCAGCGACGCATCCAGGTTGATGCCAATCTCATCCAGCACCTGCCAAGGGGCAGGGGCAGGGGCACGGACAGGGGTCAGGGCTCTCAAAAGCTATCAAAGGCAGCACTGCCAAGGCACCCGCCCGCTGCTGCTCCCCCTTGCTCAGTGGGGAGCTCCTGCGGCTCCCCGCTCCCGGCGGCTGCCGCGTGCCGCCCACCCCTCCCCACCTGCCCCACAAGCTCATCCGTCTCCTCCTCCTCGCCGCCCTCCTCAAACACGCCGTCCACTGCAGCAGCGAGGCGCAGCGGCGGCCCCGTCAGCGCCGCCCCGCCAGCGCGCAGCGCACCCGCCGCCCCTCCCGCAGGAACCAAGCGGTGCGCGGATGCAGCCGCGCCACCTGCCAGCTACAAGCGCGGCACGCCCTCGGCCGACGAGGGCGCTCCTCCGCCACACAGCCAGCCTGCCTCATCCCCACATACCCACCCCACCCAC